ATACAGCGGGTTGGTTTCACTAAAGTTTTTTGGGTTAATTTAACCAATTTAAAAAAAATAAAATAACTATCTGGTTTAGTACACAGTAAAAAATTTCTGGTAAAAAACAACACCAAAAGTGGTCCACACTAGAAATGGTATATCTAACCACATACAATTTGGTAAATTTTACCCTTTTTAATTGGTTAAAAATCTACACGTACTATTCGTACAAAAAACTCGTAACAGTGTAAAAATTATCAAATATAATACACTCTTAGGGGTAAAAGCAACACGCAATATTGGTAAAAGAACTCCATTCAAGAGTAGAAAATGCTCAATGTGGTGTAATTTACTACACATGTAGGTGTTACGTGTGGGTGTTAAAAATGGTGGGTGTTTTAATATTAAACACAGCATGTACTGTAAAATAAAGTATATTTTATATTACTTACAAACTATTAGATATGAATACAAATAGGCTTAGGCATAAAATTAAAAAAAAAATGATTAACACTACTTAGGTGTATTCTTATACCCAAGAAGTGTTAATAATTTTTTTTATTTGAAAGAAAAGTAGTACTTAATATTTTAAGTTTTTTCCAGTTTGTGCAAAACCATATTTAGCTTATATAGGTATATAAGTTAAATATGATTTTTCACTAGCTCAAAAAACTTAAAATTTTACTAAATTTCATATTTCACTTAAAAATCACAGGTAATAAAAAACATGTTATATCACAAACATAAGTTGCATCCATGGGCGCCGCTACATAGGGGCAGGGGGGGGCCCGGGCCCCCCCCCTGGAAATTCATACCCAGAAATTCCGGTACTCCATAATTTGACGGTAAGTGCTGATCGTTATCATTTGTTGATTATTTTTTAGATAAATTAGATTTGTTATCTTAGATAATTTAAGATTTGTGCCGTCTTAATATAACACTAGTGTTGTTACTGTTGTAAAATGAATGAAATGCCTGGCTGTTCAAAGAAATCAGAAGCACAGTTTACTGATTCCGTTCATAATCCTATATCTATCATCATATTCGAGAGATATTCGATGGAATCTTATATACGTGCAATAAGTTTCATATCAATTTTGATTTGGAATCCAAGGGGTTTTAGCTTAAATAAAACTTAAAAATTGAAATAATCCGGAAACTGTTCTTGGAAAATTAATGAAATAAATATTTAAAAAATAGAGGATTTAATTATGGATTCAGGATTTAAATCCAGATAACGTAATGGATTTATGATTGAGAATTTAGATCCAGTTTATGGTGTGGATTTATGGATTTAGATTTAAATCCTTTTTGTCGGATCTTGCCCATCCCTGAGTAAGACGCTCTTGGCTGACATATTTCTATATACGACTTATATATGTTGAAAAAGTCGACTATAGAATAGATTTCTTCATAAGCCTACAGATGGCGCTAATATATTGTGTCAAATTTACAAATATACATACAGGGTGTCTCAAAAGTCAACGATATCCTTTGAAGGACTCATAGGTCAGCTCTTGACTAATCAGAATATCAAAACATGACCTTGGTAAAAAATCATTAGTTTTTAAGATATTGGCATTTTTATGAATTTTGTGAAACTTGACACAAAAACCCTGAATAGGACTGCTATTAATTACAATTCAAAATTAAATTAATAGCAGATTTTGTGGCTGTAGCACTCGAAAAACTAATCTAGTGTCAAGTTTTACAAAATTCATAAAATGTCAGAAACTAACGATTTTTTACTAAGGTCATATTTTGATTTTCTGCTTTGTCATGAGTTGGTCTATCAGTCCTCCAAAGGATCTCGTTGATTTTTGGGACACCCTGTATAAAGATGATATTTTATTTGACTCAATATTTAATGTAAACTTCTACAGTACAACTTGATTATAAATAACATCTATCAAAATTGTAAAAAACTTTAAGGCCCCCCCTAGACGAATTCCTTCCGGCGCCCATGGTTGCATCCACTGTCACATTGCACCACTTTACCCGACCACTGAATTTTAATTTAAAAACCATGGTCTTAAAATAGCATGCATAGGTACACTACCATCAACTGCATTTGGAATACTGATCGCTCCCTTGCCGAATGGTTATGACTACGTGACTTTTTTTTACCACAATGTGTGTAGCTGTCAACAAATAATAGTGTCAAATGTACACTGCGTCGAGTTTATCTTTAAATTAACACTAGATTGACACGGTGCTGTGTAAAATAAATTTAAATTAACACGAATGAATTTTACCATTTTAACATTTTTAACCTAATTCATGGTGTTTATATTAACACCACTTGGTGTTGGATTTTGACACCATTTTAAGATTACTCTTTACACCACAGATATTTTAAACAGTGTAAATGTGTTAAAGTATGTAGGTAGTTTTATAAATTATTTTTGAGTATAACGAAATTGTGCATGTATTTTAGATACAGGGTTTTTTTTTCATTAAAAAGGTTTTCAACAATGCAAACGTGTTAGGGTAAACTACATAGTTATTGGACACTTAAGAATATTATTTATTTAAAATTTATATATGCCCTTGTTTTCCTATAAATATATAAAAAGGATAGTTTGTTTGTTTAAACTTTATTTACGTTTACTTAAAAATAAGAATATTTGAATTTATAATAATAGTTTTATAAATACATGCAAAAAAGTATAGTAATTGGACCATAGTTATTTATATACAAAGTTTATATACAAAAGTGCTCTTTTAGTTAGTAAGTCCCATAAGCCAACTAAATGGCTTGTGCGGGTTAGGGGTAGGAACGGACCGCAGGCTTAAAGTCCCCTCCGAAGGACTAATACACAATAGGACAAACACAAATAAACAGCCATACCCCGGGTGGGATTCGAACCCACGACCTCCGGCTTGTAGTCAGCAAATCAAATCAAATCAAATCAATTGTAAATAAAATGAACAAAAACAAATGTGCCTGGCACGTAATGTTCATTCATAAAGGAGGTTACTATATATACATTTCAACGCATTATAGCAACCCCCTTGGCCGATGTTTTGGCCTACTCAAAATCTATTTTACAATTTGGAATTAATCTGCAGTTCGCCATTCCCTTCGCTAATGCGATTCAGGGGCAATATTGTTCATATGTTTTGCGTGTATATATCAAGGACTGTCGGTTATTATTTTTATAGTTTTTTAAAGATGGCTATTAAGGGAAAAAATTTAAAAACCCTTTTGAAAAAGTTGTGGTATTTTTCGATTTTGGAATTAAAATTTTTGAATTTGGGATTTAGAATTTAAAATTTAGAATTTAGAATTTAGAATTAAGGATCAGGGGGGTAGTCAGCAGCACTAACCACTAGACCACCGTCAGCGTATATTGGACATACAATTTTTATATAAACATAACAACTTTACATCAAATAACATACATTGTTAAATATTTTTTAAAGATAAATTGCTGTTTTAGGTAATTTTTTTATTTCGTTTTTATAAATATCATATAGTTCATATATTTCTTTCTCGGATTCCTCATCTCTTTTCTGGATTCTAAAGGTAACTACTAATTCCTTGTTCTGACTTCTGAAATAGTTTGTTGCAAATATAATTAATGTGGTATCTCTAGTTTGTGAAGCATTTATAATGTTTAGGCCGGAAAAGGATGATTTATATCTAATATTTTTTCGGGTGGTATGTTAAAAGTATTTTCCGAATTTATTAATTTTGTTGCCATTCGTTTTTTATGTTCTCTATCATGCACTGTATTTAAATCACTGTTATTCTGCAAGCTGTCCTGTGACGAAGAAATCACTATATTACTTACTCTCTAAAAATGAATTAGTCACAAATGTAATAGCGAAAAAGCAGCCCCTAATAATTCTCGTCAACAGCAATTTGTATCCAGGACATTTAGCAGTCAATTTCCATGAAATATTATTCGTTGAATCCGAAAATGTCGTCAAAAGTCATAAAAGTAGAACAGTTTTTGAAATATAATCAATTTTACATATAATATGGAATTGACTATATCTTAAAAACTGCTTAACTTTTATAGTTTTTGACGATCTTTTCGGATTCAGGGGACAATTTTACATACGAATTTGCTGGTAAATGTCCAGGATATAAATACAGTATGATATTGTACATATGTCCAATAATAGAAATTTACATTTTTTACCAACCAGTAATTGGACACTGGCCATTTTACTGTTTGTTTTCAGAATTAAAATTAAAACGCATTAAAGTGACAATGTTTAAACCACGAGGAACACATTTATACCACACACTGATCTGTACAGTTTTTAGAAATATTTTTTATTGTAATTTAAACACAGCCCTGCTCTTAACAAAAAAAACAAAAATCTTACCACCAAAGTAACGTGCGAACTTTTTTGTCCTATATTGGAACCAAAATAAAGTAATTCTATATTATTACCGACTGAGATAGTTATAATTTTATGGTGGGGGCAAAAAAACTAAAGTTTACTTGTCCGAGCGTTTTTATTAAAATATTTTCTCAGGTAATTTATTAAAAATTGTAAAAAAAAAATTAAAAAGGAATCTTTTAAACAATATTTTAAGATTTAAAAAATTCCACCCCCACATTTGCAAACCTAATAACAAAAAAGTTATAGGCTATTTTTAATTGACGCGCATTTCTCAAATTTTAACGAAAACAATTTGACTAAATAATATTTACTATAGGCATAGGACATAGTATAGTAATTTACTCAGAATTTTATGTTGAATTTAAAAATGTAAAAATATATTCTCCATGGAGTGTTCTATTTAAAATAATAAAGTTGATGTCACTTCCGGTCAAACCGGAAGTTGCATTTATTAAAAATATTTTAGAAAAATAGACTTGAATGGATTATAAACGCTTTCGAATTTCAAATTTTAAATCGGTATCTCTTTCCGTTCCCTAGAAACTTCTAATACACTACGAATATGAAACACCCTCTATAAGGTTTTTGTAATTAACATTAGAACTTAAAATATATATTCTATAAATATAATTACAAAGTATTTATTTTGTTTCAGGTAAAATAATTGGAGCCCTGAAGGACATGTACCTACATTAAAATGTAAGCATGCATGGCATCCATTTTCAAGAACAATAATTGTTATAATAATTATCAAAAAACAATTATTAAACGTAAATTTTTTTATTAGTTTGGAGTGTCTTACCAATATATGTTATGTTATTTAATATGTAGCAAAGAAATAAAAAAACCTTGGGACTGCTGACGACAAACCTTATTCAGGAAAACCAAAAATCGCAAATTATTTTTTTTATGATTTAATTTAAAATATTGTTATTTTTCCCCTGGGTACACTACTGGTCCAAACATTAGTACTGATATATGGCCACTAGAAAAGGAATAATGTTATAATGCTGCGAACAATTTTATTATTGCATCGCGGTGATTTACAGAACGAAAGCACTGGAAAATATCGGTCGTGACTCTAAACTTTTTAATAAAACACATAAACTTTTATCTGTAACAAGTATCACTTTATTGCATGCCTTATGGGCGATTTATTTTATTTGGTATAAAGTACCTATAACGTTTATTATTATTGTCCAACCACTAATTTTGTATAAATGGGTTTGTTACAGTACGAATTAAAGGTAAAGCTAAATATAATTATAACCGGTTAACATGGTTAACCGCTAGAAAAGATTTTTTTTTAATTCCATCCCTACATAGAAAAAAGTATTTGTTAATTTTAACCAAATACCTATTGACCAGATTTTATGTAAATCCAGGTCCACATAAATTTATGTTAATTTTACAACCAACTGTAATCTGTTAACAAATTATATAAGTAGTTTGTAATTATTACAAACATTTTGTAGATTTAATAGCAAAATCCTAATATCAATAATTCAAACATATTTCTTGTAAATTTCAAAAAGAACCTTATTTTTACAAACCTTTTTGTAGACCCAGTAACAAAAGAATTTGTTCGAATTTATTAACTTAAATGAAAATAATTTTGATTAATCAATTTCCTAAACAAATTAATGCATTTATGAACACTAAAATAACATACACACAATTAAATAACTCACCATTCTAAAATCATCAAATTATAATAGTATATTATGTATCAAGTTTGATAAACGCCATTTTATACACGAATTAAATTAATGAGTGTATAGAAAAGTTTATAAACTAGGTACATACTATGCTTTTTCTACGACAAATACTTATTATTATCTTAAAATGATTTAAATCAAAAATTTGTTTAGAGCGTCATCTATGAAACAATAGGGGAATCTGTGTGTCACCGTCAAATGTCAAATTTTTACATTTTATAAACACAATTATAAAGGTTATAAATCGAAATGTATTTCTTGAAAATTGACAGTTTTTCACAGTGAAAGTAAAGAAAATGTACTGCCGGCGAAATTAAAAGGTCAGTACAATGTTCATATAAACTTTTTAAACATTGGCGTTGAGAAACTATTTAATACTTTTGTATTTTTGTATTGAGATAATAATAGTTATTTGTTTTACAAGTGTTGAAAAGCGACTTTTTTATGCGAGTGTTTAAGTTGCTCACGAGGCCGCTAGGCCGAGTGTGCATTAACACGAGCTTGAAGAAAGCTTTTCTCACAAGTGAAACACAATGTTTTTTCTACGACCCTTTTATTTTTTATTATTTTCAAATACAAAACAAAATAACCTAAAATCGTGTTTGACAGCTATTAAAATTACTTTCATCTTATTTTTTTAATTTTTAAAGTATTACTTAAAATCAATAAACTTACCTTCTCAATTTAAATAAAGGCACTAGAAATTACCATTTTGTATACAAACACAATTAATTGTGTTCTAAATGATATTTGGATTTATAGTCAAATGATGCCCTCAATTTCTTTTCACATAGACCTGTCACTTTTCACACAGAAATTTCACTTTACATTCGTGTTTTGCCTTGCCAATGAAAAGATTAATTTTCTAAGCAACGATGCCATTACGAAATGTGACTTTTACATAGTGGTCGTAGAAAAAAAAAATTTCACATTTAGTATTATTTTACAAGAAAGGCACTTTATTTTAATGATTGTATGACATTTGACAACTGTCAACTAACTTAAAACTAACTTCAGCCCGTGACTAAAAACCTGTTGCTAACTTCAGCCCGTGATAAAGCCACAACTTGTCAATGTGTATTTAAAAGGTCACTTTAAAACATATACGATAAAGGGCGTTTTGAAGGTGGGAGTAAAAAATAGTTATTTATGTCATTAGGTTAAGAAGTAAGGCTTTTTGTGCTAAGCTCAAGGTTTGAAGGCCGACGCGTAGCGGATGCCTACAATTGAGCGAAGCACAAAAACGCACTTCTTGGCAGAATGGCATACAACATTTTATCTTCAAAGCACTTTATATAGGTTAATTTAATTCAACATCAAAGCGGCCTAACCTCACTTTTTTAGAATCTCATTTATTTATTAGCTAAAGATTATATTAAATGTACAATAATTATGATTGCTTTTAGAAGCAGTAATAGTTTGACAATACCTAGCAATATGATTTAAGTAGAAATGGATTTTTGCTATTACATTGAATTCAATTAATTGTTTAATACATAGGTAGGTATCTAATTTTAATTTGTTTGGATTCTTATTTAAAAAAATAGGTAGTTTGGAATGTTTAAGCTGTGTTTAACATTTAATTTCACTGAAAACTTAAAGCAAATTAAAACTTAAAGATAATTTAAATCGTAGAAAAAGAATCGTGCGTTTTCTTGGTTGCCTAACCTCACTTTTTGTTTTATTATTCATATTTAATTTTACAATAATTTAATGAAAAATATTAAACATTAACAGTAAAACAAACAAATTAGTGCTTATTATAAATAAATTAAACCAGTTTAGTACGTTAATTTCTTAGAAAAGGATTAATTTGTCAAAACAATTCCCCTAGCGAGAAAAAATCGAACTAATTACATGCCTCATACAAATTTTTATCGGCCTAGGCCATAACAAGGTATTTCTTTATCGAATGTTGACAACAATAAAGTTTAAATTATATTCCGTTTAGTAAGTACAAGAAAATAAAATCGTTATTATTTGATACAAAATATTTCTTTTAAAAATATAGTAAACAAAAAACAAGACGAAGTACAAGCCGAGGGCAAACTTATAATTTCGACGGGTTGGTTGAGTTTTTGCGAGAAGGCAATAATGATAAATTCATTGGTCGTTCGAGTATAAAAGGTCTTTACGAAACACGGAAAAGCCAAACGGCATGGAAAATTTTATTTCGTATACATTTTTGATAAATTATATTTTAAAGTGAAAAGTACATTTTTTGTTTATGAATTTTTACTCAACCTTATAAGAGATCAAACAGTTTTATATTTCAACATTTTCGATTATTAAAAATTGCTGGCTACACGGAAAGAACTGTTTCCGGAATGGTTAATAAAATATCCAGTAAATTGGAACAGCTTTGATATTATAGGAGGCAATTATGCAGTTGCCAGGTTATTCGTAGTTATTAGAAGTTTCTGGGGGACAAAAAAGATATTGATTTGGAATTTTAAAAGCGTTTATAATCCATTTAAGTCTATTCTTCTAATAGTATATTATGTATCAAGTTTGATAAACGCCATTTTATACACGAATTTAATTTAGGCACGAGCGAGCTTGCGAGCGAGTGCTTAAGTTAATGAGTGTATAGAAAAGTTTATAAACGAGGTGCATACTATACTTTTTCTACGACTTATTATTATCTTAAAATGATTAAAATAAAAAATTTGTATAGAGCGCCATCTACGGTACAATAGGGGAATCTGTGTGTCACCTTCAAATGTCACATTTTTACATTTTATAAACACAATTATAAAGGTTATAAATCGAAATGTATTTCTTGAAAATTGACAGTTTTTCACAGTGAAAGTAAAGAAAATGTTTTATGAGTACTTTACAGTAGAGTCCGTGCCCGAATTTAAGTTATAGTTTACTGCCGGCGAAATTAAAAGATCAGTACAATGTTCCTATAAACTTTTCAAATATTGGCGTTGAGAAACTATTTAATAATTTTTTATTTTTGTATTGAGATAACAAAATTTTTTCACATTTAGTATTATTTTACAAGAAACTAACTTCAGCCCGTGACTAAAATCCTGTTGCTAACTTCAGCCCGTGACTAAAGCGCCATAAAGCCACAGCTTGTCAATGTGTATTTAAAAGGTCACTTAGTGTCATGGAAACACGTTTAAAGGTGGGAGTAGAAAAAATATATTTTATATTTTATTGCCTCCAATGAGCTAGTGCTTTATTTAGTTGACATCCTACAGCTGATTTGTTTTCAAAATTAGTCAACTCACCCGTCATAGGTTTCTTGATGTAAATAATATTTAAAATACGATTACATCAATCGATAGGTTTTGTTCATTTATTAGGTAAAAACATACCGGGGTAACTTTTAAAATAAAAAAATAATTAACGTTTCAATTTAGCCCAATTTGCCCTGCGTTTTTTCAGGTAATATGTTTAAATTTTTTAAAGAATTGACTAGGAATCATCTAAACAATGTTTTAAGATTCCAAAAATTCCACCCTCATATTTGCAAACCCAAGAACAAAAAAGTTATAGGGTATTATTAATTGTCGCATTTGTAACAAAAAAACTATTTACTTTAGGTAAAGGACATGGTATGGTAATTTTACTCATAATTGTATGTAGAATTCAAAAATATAAAAATATATAGGGTGTCCAATTTGAAATAACAAAGTTGAAGTGGCCAAAATAGACTTAAATGGGTTATAAACGCTTTAAAAATTTTAAATCAATATCTTTTTTCGTTCCCAATCTTTTAAAAAGCAGCTCTTAAACGCCTAGTGTTTTCGAAAAATATCAAAACAACCGTGGAACGATTTTCTGGTTGTTAGAGTTTTTACCGGTTTCCCCCCATTTATTTTTAATTCTTCCAATATAGGATATTTATCTTTTTTCCTCTTCGAAAAATCGTGTATAAAAATGCATCATTGGGAATTGGAGTAATTAGATTACTCCGTAATATAAAAATAAACCTATTTTGGTAGACACTGAACTTTCAGTAATATC